CGCGGATTTTGATTCATAAACCATGTTATAGATATGTTGTCCCTAACGGCACACTCATGGGCACCTCGTTTTTTGCATGTTTCGGTTCATGGCTATCATTGTCGGGACTGCTCTATGTGCTTTGCTTTCTTTTCGGTGCTGAAATTCCTATGTTGCAACTGGTTTCAGTTTTTGTAAGTTTCTTTTGATGCTGGAAATATGCGGGCTAACGCCCTTGGACCCTACTTCTCCTGAAAGGCTCGTTTTACTGACTTCCTTCAAAACCATTACATACCTCCATTTTCATTTTCATACTCAAAAGATCATACGGGTCTCTCGTAGTGACTAACATACGATCTTGAATTTTGGTATGAAATTTGACTCTATTTGTTACCCAAAACATTTCGGTCTCGAAAATCCATTGTGAAGTTCGATAAGGAGGCATATTTTTATTAAGAGGTTAGGTATGATCAATTAATTGTGCATTTACAGGGATATTCAATGACATCTCATTGTCTTGTTTTGCTGCTGACCTCTATTTATCATACCTCACATGATCACCTTTATTTCTTCGTTTTGGTTGTAGTGTTCTGCCTACCTAGTGCTATCAGAATGGTATGCGCTTTCTACCTAATTTAGTGACCTCAGTTCTGGTTCCACCAAAACAAGATTTATTTATTAGTGCCCGATTTAAAAAATATAGGGTCTCCTGGTGTGCATACATGCTCGTATTCCGTCACATCGTGTTGTATTGGCAGGAGCGGCAATCGCTCTTCACACTGCTCTCATATTCTATCTTCACTTCGGTTTCCATGTCATGCTTGAAGGTCGGTTTGCCATTGAATGAGGTTTACAGTTTAAAAAAACAATGAATTACTGGAATACAGTATGTCCTAATCATATATGTGAAGTTGAATTTTATCTTCCCCGTCCTTTATTGTTTTTGCTTTTCTTGATTTTTATTCTTTAGAAATCGACGAAATAATAGACGGTACAGGAAAGGGCATTGAAAATGTCGTGAAAGGATCGCTATCACTCGAGGCATAGCAGCTCGACATAGTAGCAATAGGGAGGTGCCTTGAGAGTCTTCTACGAATCTTCGAATCCTTTTATTGAACATCCCTATTGTTTATGTTGATTTCTGTATAACAATCTGTGCGTATAATTTCAACGAACAAAAACTGTGATATACTTTTAGTAATAAAAAGTAACTTA